CAGTGAAAAAGTGAAAGATACCATCTATCTACAAAGACAAGACACAGAAATATAGTCTGATGTAATGACAAGTAGATGGATTAGAAACTGCTTGACTGATGACACCCAAGGGCACACATAAGTGAATAAGTGTCAACCCCAAAGGAAATTTCTAGTGACATGTCACTGGGCTCTGTCCTTGGCCTGCTCAACAACATATCACTGGCTTTTATCAATGATAACTAAACTTGACTGCAGTCACAACAATCTAGGAGGTTTGTTAAAATAGAGCATCCCAGTGTCTATCCTGGACCTACTGAATCAGAATTTTCCCAGGTGGCATGGTGGGGCAAATGGACAGTCTGCCTTAGCAGAAGGAATAGAGGGAGGAGGTTGATCAAAATGTACAGCTGAAACCAAGCTGGGCAGAATGGGGAAGATGCTAGATGGAGGCTCTGGAGTGATCTCAGCAGGTGGACAGGTGGGCTGAAATATCACTGTGTCATCGTGGAATCCTGCGACTGCCTCTGAAAATCAGCCATAGGTGGGGTGGATAGGGTAACCAGTTGGGTCTGCAACCAACTTGGGATTCTCAGTGAGCTGCAGACACTGTAATCTACAGTGGATCCCCAGCTAGATTGATCAGGGGAGAAAGGACGCAATCCAGCCACACACTCTACAGCCCCTAAAGCTTCCTCTCCATGGTGCAGAAAACACACCAGAGGGGGGCCAGATGAGCACCAACAAAATGGACAAGGGTTCCAGCCCACATCCTGCAAGGACCACCTAGAGAGAAGCAGATGTTTAGCCTGGAAACTCAGAAGGAACCAGGACCTCACCCTGACATACTTCCCAGGTTAACATGTGGAAAGACTTATTCTGTGGGATCCAACGGGGTAGATCCAGAATCAGTGAGTGAAAACTAGTGGGACATGATTCTAATTTGGTGGAACGAAGGTCTTTCCAACAGGAAGGGCAACCTAAAGAGACGGAAATGGTAAGCACTTTGCTGTGGGAACCATTAAACATATATACACCCCTAAGTAGCATTTATTGCAATGTATTATTTTATGTATATGCACATACCCTTCCTACAACTGGATAAACTCCATGAGGACTGAAACTATGACACTTCATCCACATTTCCCTAGAATTCAGCACAAGCCCTGCCCATGCTATGTGCTTAATAAATGTTATTTGAATGAATGAGTTGACTATCACTGGATGTTGTCAAGGATGTTGTGGAGGTGATTCATGTCACATAATTATTAATGTTCCTTCCAAACAGCAGATCCTATGATCACTGAACAATTGCACATAAATCGGCTTCCCCGGAGACAGTCATCCTTTGCATCTTTACAGTTGATTTAAAACTCAGACAAAATGAATTCTTTAAATTATTATGTTTAATGTTGAACTGCAATATTAGCCCTAGGTTTAAAACTCAGACTGATATTAAGTGTGGGGTAATCATTTTTGCTTTCAATGCTTCTGTACTTCACATGAATATGTTGAAAGTCCTATCTGTTAAGAAAATGTGTTTCTTCTAGTGGAAATCTCATCCTTCTAGCTATGATCTGGTTTGGGGATTTACCCTCCAGGCCTCTTATAAGTAAATGTCGCCACATCTGGGTCTGGGGGATGTACTGATTCATGGGCTGGTGGTGTCAGCTCAGCAGGTGCACAGTGTCCACCACACTGTCTACCAGGCTGGGGTACACCTTGAAAACTCACTCCAGCAGAGGCCTGGCCCAACTCAGAAATTAACCCAAAGGGCTTTGAGAGAGCAGTCACTGCAGTTACCAAGGAGATCAATACACTTTACATCCTCCTCAAGAGACCACAAAACAAAACCAATTCTCTGGTCCATAGATTGGAGTCTGAAACTCTCCCAAAATTTGAGGCCGCTTTCAAAACTACCTTTGTGTTCTTGCCCCATATTAAGAGTGGACAGCCTATGGTCATGTGTCCAGGGGAGGAAGCCATGTCTCCAGTGGGCATCTGCCTTACAGCAGACACTGTGTTGAGGGAGGTCTCATTTAATCTTCACAACAATCCTTTAAGGTGAGAATAGTATACCTATTGCCAAACAAGGAAAGGGCATCTCAGAGAAGTTAACTCAGTTGGCCAACATCACACAGATGAGATGTGTGGGTTCCACACATCTCAAATAGTGGAGGAGCCAGTATTTGAACTCAGGTCTGTTTACCCCTGTCTTAGTCGGCTGTATAACACGGATCACAGACTGGGTGACTTAAACAACAAACATCTGCTTCTCATAGTTCTGGATGCTGGGAAGTCCATGATCAAGGTGCTAGCAGATTCGGTGTCTAGTGAGGGCTTTCTTCCTGGTTATATCCTTGCCTGGCAGACAGAGAAATAATCTCTCTTGTCTCTTCTGTTATCAGAAGGGCATTAATAATCCTATTCATGATGGTTCCGCCCTCGTGACCTAATTACCTCCCCCCTAAAGCTTCACCTCCAAATATCATCACATTGGGGATGAGGGCCTCAGCAAATTAATTTGGCAAGGTGGGGAGACACAAACATTTAGTCCATAGCAAAGCCGCAAAGCTGTGCTCTTTTCCCACCCAGCAACTAGAGTGGTCTTAAAACAAAAGTTTTATTAGACTTTTCAGAATGCTCCAGTGGCTTCCTCTTGTACCTAGAATACATCCAAACTTCTTGCAGGGCTCTGCCCAGTCCGGCCTCTGTCTGGCAACACACCCCACCTCTTCTTGTCCTTGCTCTCTCCCTTCCAGGCCTACTGGCCTTCCTGCTGTTCCCTGGAGTCACCAAAGTCCCTGCCTCAGGGCCACAGCACTTGCTATTCCCTCTTCCTAGAATGTTCTTCCCCCGGTACCCTGCAGATCCTTCTTCCTTCATCCAGGTCTCTGCTCCAATGCCACCTCCTCAGACAGGCTGTTAGCAACTACTTCATCTAAAAGACTCCTTTCCCCACCACTCTCTAACCTGATGTTTCCTGCCAGCACTCACCAGTACCTGGACAAACATACTTGGGCAGTGACTGCTTTTCGTTAGTGACCGCTTTTCGTTAGTGACCCAATAGAATGCAAGCTCCATGAGACAGGGACTCTGCATCCCTCATTGTATTCCCCACACTCAGGCCCCACATGGCCAGCACTCACCAAACTGGGCTAGTGCATGGCTAACACCGGCTTCACCCTCTGCTGCCTCTATTTGCTCCCTGCTTATGGAGTTCTGCTACACAGAGGTGGGTAACCTTGGCCAGGTTAACTTCGGATCTCAAGAGAAATCTTCTATTGGCTGATGGTGGCCCTTACAAAAAAGGAACTGCTATTTCATCCCTCTCTAAAGACCACAACATCCCCTTGCTCTGATATTTGTATGACACTGCCAGTTTTAGAAGTTTGTGATTTTATCAGAGAAGAGGCATTTGAGGCAACTGATGAAACAAAAAGATAATTATATTTCATAAAGAGAAAATTTAAAAAACTTCAAAATTACCAACTGCTGTTTATTGCTAGAACAGACAATTAGTTCATTTAATGCCTTCCAGCATTTTTTCAAAGCAGATAGAAATGGACTCTTATTGAAGGAGTTATAAAAAGCTATGTTATCTGGCATCTAACCAACTTCCCAGATTCCACAAATTTCCAAGCTCACAATAGGCTTGAGGCAAAAGGTAACCATAATCCAAGACAAGACCAACCGTTATTCAATGTAAAAGTTTCTAGAGATGAAATTATCTCGGTTTTGGGAGCTTAATTTGTCTCATCTCATACGTAATTACTGCCCTGCCTCAAAACTCCAGGTAGCCCCAGTTACTCTTGTTGCTAAGTAGTGGTTCATTTTCCATAAAACATTTTATATTCTGTAGAAGAATTCTGTAAATAAATACAGGATGGTTCATTTGCAAAACTCAGGATTTTCTTTGAGTTTTGTTTTATGTGGTCTGTCCGAACATTATTTCAGTTGTGGAAATGCCTACTGGCCTCTGAGGGGCTTTTGTTCACTGGACCTTCCCAGTTTTTCTCTCCTTTCTTAATGCACTTACCACTTCAAAGGAACTCTCAGCTTCAGACCAGGGTCAGACTAGAGGGTGAAATACCTATGGGATCAAAGAATGGTCTTCTGGGAAAATTTAAGCTAAATTTTAGTTTATGGCAACTTTTAACCAGTCTATCCAGCTTTTGTGTATAGCCAGATACAAGGATAGATAAAATGCTGCAGGTGATTTCATTTGCAAAGAAGGAAGGAAAAAGGGGAGGGCGGTTTATATTCATTGCTGAATTCCAGTGGTGGCCTCAGTAGGGGAAGCTGTAGAGAAAAATCGGAAGGTGCGATGGGAAGAGAGGTATGGACACAGGCGATGCCTGCATGAGTGTATTTCTTAGAGCAGAAACTGCCCAGAACACTGTATCTTCACTGTCACGTAGATTACTCTGTATTTCCAGATTTCCCTTTTATTATACTGTATTTTATCATAAACTGTATATTTCTTAATACTTGCCACCAGCAGCCATTATTTACATTAGCGATGAGTGTATCTGATACTCAAACATGAAGTTATATCCCACTTCCTTCAATCCACATGCTAATAGTTTATCATGTAACATACTAAAAAAATCGTTTTTTATGGCTTGAGTTATCTTCCAAAGAGTTAAAGAGAAAAAGCAGAAGAGAAAAAAAGGCTACAGGTGGTTTAGTGATATTTATAATCATTACTGGAATTCTTGTGCCTGAGTGAGAAAATATCCCATAGGAACATCGATCTTTGGCTAACTGATCAAATTCCAAGGTACATTCTCTGTTGAGCACTTGTATTGTTACTTCAGTAATTATTTTGATGCAGTCATCAATTTAGGCACAATTCCTAAAGTGTCTTTGAGAATATGACATTAATCTTCCACCAACACTTTTTCTCGTTAAAGAGCCATGTTTATACTCTGTGGCTGTCAAAGAGAAACGGGGATAATACATAATATCGTGTGCAGCCTCTAACAACCACAATGTGTGCATTTTCATATTCAACTTACTTTTTCATTCCATGCCCACAGTCCAATTCCAAGAAACGTTATTCCCAAAAACTGAAAAAGAAAGAAAGCAGTGTAAATATAAGGGAAAATGCCGCTAATATAAAGAAGAAATTTTTCAATCAATTCTTTTGTCGCTTTACCTGGCTGGGAAATAGCTTTTCCTAAAGTGTGGGCACTCATCTTTACCAGGAAAATAAATACCATAATCCCTCTGCTTAAAATTTTTACAGCACTAGGGCTGGAGACACACAGTTGGTTAGAAGTCATTCAGATTATGAAGAATAATAATTAGGTAGAATCCTGAATACAATGAAATTATCAATAACATTTAATATGCTGCCTTTTAGGGTAGGGGAGGAAACAGATTCCCCATGGATCTGAGGCCTGCGGTCACTGGAAAACGGATAAGCAGAGGCATGAACTTAGAAGAGGTGGCATGTTCTCTTCAGCACTGAGCCATTACAAACGGGTCAGGTCAGGGAGGGGCATGCAGAGCCTCAGATGTCCCTCTTTGATCATGCCTTCAAAAAGTAACAAGAATCTTATCAATGTAACGCAAAGAAAATTCCTAAGTTCTGTTTTCAGAAACTTCGATTGTGTAAATTTTAGTTCAGAGGACCTCCCACCACCCTTCTTGGTTTCAACTCAGTTCTACAACTTCATATATACACAGAGTATACAACACATGGGACTGAGCTACACATTCAGCCCCAAGGCAGAGGCACATCTCATACGTACCCACACCTCTCACCATTCTGTCAATTAGCTGTGTTGAGGACTGGGGGGATGCCAGGAGAGGAACAGGTGATAACCAGGAGGACTTTCCATTTTACTGTTTTTCTTTTTCTTTTTCTTTTGAAATGGGGTTTTACTCTGTCGCACAGGCTGGAGAGCAGTGGCTCGATCACAGTTCACTGCAGCCTCAACTACCCAGGCTTAAGCGATCCTCCTGCCTCAGCCTTCCGAGTAGCTGGGACCATAGGTGCAAGCCACCATGCCTGGCTAATTTTTTAATTATTTGTAGAGACAAGGTCTCACTATATTGCCCAGGCTAGTCTCACACTCCTGGGCTCAAGCAATCCTCCCGCCTCGGCCTCGCAAAGTGCTGGGATTATAGGTGTGAGCCACCACTCCCGGCCTAGGGCTTTCCATTTTAATTAATTCTCACTGTATTCCATCTGCTATAAGATACACATATTTTCCCCACATTTGAACACATCTGAAATTGGGATGTATCTTAAAATCCATGGTATCTCATAATTTGTTTTCTCCCCCTTGATATAGAAAACAATGGAGTGTTTTGTAACTGGGGTGACACAGACTTGATGACACATTGTACAGTGCTGTCCACCCACTAAAAATTCAATGATCAGGACTGTGTGTAATTGGCCATGAGTAAAGATATGCTTCATGTTTATTATCAATAGCAACTCTCAATTTCCTTTCTGAACACTGAAAAGAGACAAGAAGTTTCAGTCTGATGGCAGCACACTGTTTATTTTACTAACATCTTGATTAAGTTAATGTGGAGAAAGTGGTCCACTGAGAGGGGTATGCAAGAAAAACATGAGCGAGAGGGGTTATTTTTTACAGTTCCAGGGAAATCTGAGACCTGCCCACTGGGCGAGGGTTTCATGGTTCTCAGCAGGGAGTTCCTGATACTTTGTAAGCAATGACTAATAAATCCAAATGGGACTTGGACAGACGGGAGAGCAGAAAGAAAAGGGGACTGACAAAAGACAACCAGCTACTCCGAAAACATAGTGGTGTTTTCAAAAGCAGACTTTCCCGAAACTCTGGACACTCATCTGACATTGAAGCAAGGCAACACACAATACAATCTGAGCCCTATACAGAAAAGCATGTCCTTGATTTGGCAAGAACTGAAGACCCCTTTCTTCCTACCCCTTGCTCTTATAGCGGACTCCTTGGAAAGTGTTCAGAAAGATTTCTCGTTTCACTATCCCAACAGAAAAATCATGCTCAGCCCTGGTCGGAGTGCTATTTCATTTTACATTTCAGATCCAAAACAAGTGAATCCCCAAATGACTCAAAGGTACTTAGGGCTCCGTAGTACAAAAATAAAACAATTCAGCATGTTCTTCTCATATTTATAGGTGCCAGGCAAAAGAGGACGACCACTGACAAGTGAGTGTCCAGGCTCCCATGAGACCTAGGAAGCACAGAAGCACAGAGTTAAGGCTTTGACTTCAACGCACTGACATCAAACACAACCCAGTGAAATGGCTGACTTTCCAATGCTGAAGCTCCTCATGGATAAATGTTTGGTTATTTTCCCTGATGCAGTATTCACTGTCCCTCCCACTGCTGACGGGTTGGACACGTTCCTGCCGAAGACCTGTGCCTGATCGCTAAGAATTGTTTTTATTACTTTCCAGGCATTGCGCTTAGTGCTTTGTGTGCAATGTCTCTGTTAAGCGTCACAACAGTTTTACTCTGAAATAGGCGCTATTATTATCCCCTTTTTAGGAAAGAGGAAAATGAGGCTTAGAGAGTTTAAATAACTTGCTCAGAGGCACATAGCTTCTAAGTAGAGGAGCAGAGACTTGAACGAGAGAAATACATATTCTTACCAGTCCTGATAAATTCCCCTTTGCCCCCATGATATAAAAAGTTGAGGCATTCAGGCTGGAATTACACGGTACATGATCAGCATATCATATATTCCTCCCCCCGCAAGCAAAGGGGTGTGGAAAAGGTAAAGAGAGACAACAATCTTGCCTTCACATAAGCATTGGCTGTGGAACTTCTGTTCCCTACTTTGGTGTCAGCAATGGAGTTAAGCAGAAGAACAGAGAAATTCAATGGTGGGTCCACATTCTCCTTTTTAAATAAAGTTTTCCTCTCTCCTCTTGGCACTTTGAGACAACTTTTTTCATTCACGAGCCATATAAATAGCTTGGAAACCAATGGTTTTCCATAAAGAGGAGAGAGAAAAAAAGTAGGGGATTTAAAGAAGACTCACAATTTCCTTTACAATCTTGCTCCTGTATTTCCTGCTTTCACTGTGACTTTCCAAACAAGGGTTTAAGAACTGGGAAAGAACACAATTTGAAGTGAAGGAAAATACTCAATACCTAAGCAAGCAAGTGGTGCAAGCCTGGGCCTCAACTTGATACATACCTTCAGTGCTACATCACTAGCAAATGTCCTCCCAATTACTCTCAGACCATATGTTTTGTTTTAAAATCAAGTTGTTCCAGTTCCAAATAATTAAACAGAGAAGAGCCAAAAACAGAGACAGGCACGCAATACTTGAGGCACATTCAGTTTCCCTTCCCACCTCCCAAAGAAAAGACGACCATAAACCACCAAACTGACCTCATTCTGAAACCCAGGGAGGCCCACTTGCAGGAAATAGCTGAGAACTCTTAAAGTCAACCCCTTACTCTTTTGAAATAGAAAAAAATGTATCTGAGGCATCTTACCTGAGGCATCTTCCCACATGGCAATATACGCAAATGTGCAGTACAAATGTTTGTCAACCCAAATTTTGATGTTTTAAAATAAATAACAATAATCTTGCCAGCATTTGTTGAATGCTAAGTATGGCTAAACTACAGCCACGTGTTGCTTAATAAAGGGAATATGTTCTGAGAAATGTGTAGTCATGCAAACATCATAGTGTACTTACACAAGCCTAGATGGTATAGCCTACTACGCACCTAGGTTATATGGTATAGCCTATTGTTCCTAGGCTACAAACCTATACTGCATGTCACTGTACTGAATAGTGTAGGCAACTGTAATACAATGGTAAGTATCTGGCATCCAAACATATCTAAACATAGAAAAGGCATAGTAAAAACGCAGTATAAAAATCTTATGGGACCACCACTGTACATGCAGTTGGTTGTTAAATGAAACATCATTACGTGGCACATGACTATTGTTTCAAACTGAGCTGTGCCGTTAAGTGTAAAGTGCAGGCTGAATTTTGAAAACTTAATATGAATAAAAAGAATGTAAAATATCTCACTAATATTTATTATTGATTTCATGTTGACGTGATAACATTTTGGATATTCTGGGTCAAATAAGATACATTAAAATTAATTTCATTACACCTTTTAAAGATAGCTATGGAAAATATAAACTACATAAGTGGTTTGCATTATATTTTTATAGAATAATGTTGGTACAAAGTATCCCACAACAATATCCCAGGCACTAGATATTGTTTTAATCCCCATTTTATAGATAAGGAAACTGAGACTTAGAACTTTTAAGGTCAGGTGCGGTGGTTCACGCCTGTAATCCCAGCACTTTGGGAGGCCAAGGTGGGCAGATCACCACATCAAGAGATCAAGACCATCCTGGCCAACGTGGTGAAACCCTGTCTCTACTAAAAATACAAAAACTAGCTGGACGTGTTGGTGCGCACCTGTAATCCCAGCTACTTGGGAGGCTGAGGCAGGAGAATCACTTGAACCTGGGAGGCGGAGGTTGCAGTGAGCCGAGATCGCGCCACTGCACTACAGCCTAGTGACAGAGTGAGACTCCATCTCAAACAAAAAAGAAAAAAAAAAGAATTTTAAGTATTTCTCCCAAGATCATAAAGGTGCCTGAGCTACATTGCTCAGAAAATCTCAATCCTTAGCCCAAGATCAAAACTATTATACTTTCCTAATATGCATAGAATGTTTGTCCATAGAGCAAGCTCAGGGATGGAGAACTATAATGAAACTCATGCCCTAAGACTCTAAATTACTCTTTTAATTTCTAGGCATCAAAGGTACGTTTTTCCCACCTAGGAGTGAGAACGGCCCTCGAGCAGGCTGACAGTGGAAGGAGAGGCAGCAGAGTTGACCCTTGGGAACAGCTGGAGAGGAAAATGGCCCCAGGGTGTGATGAGGGTGATTAGTTAATTCTGGAGGGACACATCTGCCCCACTTTTCTCTGAGTTCTACAAGAGGAAGATCCTTTCCTCCCTATCTGGTGGTTTTCATCCTTGCTGAACCTCCAACATTTTGAAATTAGTACAGTGCCTTATTCTAACTGGTATAAAAATGGATACTTCAAGAAGCCAT